TTTATGCAGGATCATTTTTAATGCTTTTCTCCCAATTGAAATAGGCGTGGCCCCTCCCCTCGCATCTCAAGCCCCTCCCCATATCATTTTTATGACCATTTTTAATGCTTTTCTCCCAATTGAAATAGGCGTGGCCCCTCCCCTCGCATCTCAAGCCCCTCCCCATATCATTTTTATGACCATTTTTAATGCTTTTCTCCCCACTTAATAGGCTTGGCCCCTCCCCTCGCATCTCAAGCCCCTCCCCATATCATTTTTATGACCATTTTTAATGCTTTTCTCCCCACTTAATAGGCTTGGCCCCTCCCCTCGCGCCTCAGGCCCCTCCCCTTGCTCAAGCCCCTCCCCAAGTCATTTGTAGGATCATTTTTTAATGCTTTTCGCCCCCAATTTAAATAGGCTTGGCCCCTCCCCTCGCTCCTCAATCCCCGCCCCCGTCCTCACAGGTAGCGGCAGAGAATCAGCGGGGCGTACGGGCCTTGGTACTCCCAGAGGCTGGCGGGGGTTGCATGAGGGGGCCGCTGCTGCCCTTCTGCCTCTCGAGCTCCGGGGGGGCTCTCGGTGGCGTTGTGCTGATGGGTCCGGGAGACCCCCTGCAGTAGGAGCAGGTTGCCCAGCAACAGCGCCGCCTGACCACACAGCAGCGCGTAACAAATCGGCCCGCCGCCCGCCATAGCGGAGACGGCGCCCTTCCGACTTCCGGCCGAGGCCGGTCGCTTCGGAATTACGTACTACGCTCGGGCGGCGCCTTTCCACCAATCGCAAAGCAGTCCCACTCGCCTCGCGGCTCCGTCCAATCAAAAGCGAGGCCTGCTAAGGGACGTCGCTGCCGTATATACCATAGAGAGACAGAAATAGAAGGACCGTTGAACCTTCTGGGCCAAAGCTCTGTGAACCGATCTGGGACGGGAAATCTCTTCGGGATGGCATGTGGTCCCTAAGGTAAAGCTGGCGGAACTGTGCTCTGCTGCCATCTATAGGCCGTTAGAGCTTTGCAGCCTAAATCCTGCGTCTTTTATGCCGAAAGAGGCTCTTTCAGTCGTCGTTCCTCCCACTTTCCAAGCGCAGTCCCGATTGGCCCGCGAGGCCGCTCCCGGCATCCAATAAGACACAGCGGTAAAAGAAGAACGGCGCTACACAGCCTGGCCAACAGATGGCAGCAGTGATCGCCACTTAGGTCGTGATTCGTTCGAATTATGAAGTTTGCAGAACACGTGGAAACGCTGCCAAGTTATATATTGTGCATATCAACCTTACATTTAACTTACGCCCAGAAATTTATATTAAAAGCCTGTTCCCCTCCCCCAAACTTGTGACTTTATCATATGTGGACACCCATCTTAAAAATGGTTTTCAAAGTTTGAAAAAAACAGAATTAACTTAAATATCAAATAAGGATGTGCAGATGATGCCACTCTAATGGCATAAAGTGAGGAGGAAATAAAGAGCCTCTTGATGCCGGTGAAGGAGGAGAGTGCAAAAGTTGGCTTGAAACTCAACATTCAGAAAACTAAGATCATGGCATCTGGGCCTCTCAATTCCTGGCAAATAGATGGGGAAGAAATGGAGGTAGTGACAGATTGCATTTTCCTGGGCTCCAAGGTCACCGCAGATGAGGACTGCAGCCAAGAAATTAAAAGANCGAAAGCTTCTGCACCAGAAACAAATTCCTTGTGTGTCTAATCCAGTGTTTTTCAACCTTGGCAACTTGAAGATGTCCGGACTTCAACTCCCAGAATTCCCCAGCCAGCGAATGCTGGCTGGGGGATTCTGGGAGTTGAAGTCCAGACATCTTCAAGTTGCCAAGGTTGAAAAACACTGGTCTAATCACACTTGGCTGAATAAAATATTCAATATGATACAGAAGAGAGCCATTGAGTAATTCCATTCTAATTTCAGGGGCTGATTTTATACCGTTTTGTTTTTGTCAAGGATAAAGTCCTAAATAATTGCACACTTGGATAGTGCAGGGCACCCTCAACTTATGATTGGTCACTTAGTAGCCATTAAAAGTTATGATGAAGCCCCTAAAATATACTCAACAACCCAATTCCAAAGTTCTGACAGGCACCTCATCCTTGTATGGTTACACCACTGTGTTTTGGGTGCTCTCAGTGTACATGCAAAGCAACAGAATAATGATAAAGATAATCATACCAATAATAATACCAATAAGAGTGGGGAGTAAGAATGATAATAAGAATAAATAACAATACAGCCATACTACGTGGGTAAATATGTAATACTACAGCCAAACTACCTGGGTAAATACACATACACATACTACAGCCATATTTCCTGGGTAAATATACATGTAATACTATAACCATACTACATGAGTAAATATACATATACATATATACCTTGTTTCTCTGAAAATAAGACAGGGTCTTATTTTCTTTTGACCCCTGAAATAAACACTGGGCCTTATTTTTTGGGGGGGTGTCTTATTATTTTTGAGGTGGAGAAGGTAGCGAGCATGGTAACCTCATGGCTGCTGCTGTGTTGCAATATTTTGGGGGAGGGTTAGGGGGCTTATTTTGGGGGGAGGGCTTATTTTGGCGCATGCGCTCAAAAGCCCTTGGGCTTATTATCCGGGGTGGTCTTATTTTCAGGGAAACAGGGTACAGGCATACTATGTGGGAAAATACACATACACATACTACAGCCATACTACATGGGTTAGTACATATGTAATACTACAGCTATGCTACATCAGTAAATACACATACATATACATGGGTTAATACATATGCAATACTACAGCCATACTATGTGCGTAAATACACATACACATCCTACAGCCATACTACGTGGGTAAATACACATTAGACAGCACTATGAGAATTACTGGTACGTGTTCAGGTTTTACTGCTGAGGAGAGAAGCTCATAAAACCAAAACAAAAAAATTACTGCTAAGAATGTGCTGTACCTGGCTTCTGCATGGTGATCCTGCCCTGTCACCCGAAACCACAAAAATTGACCAAGAAAAGGAACTCACTTTATGCACGGCTTGTTCCCACGCAGAAAGGTTCGCTGTCCTGCACACTCAATTCCATCCAATGCCCTGCAAAGAACGCGAGTGTGGCTGACGTCGCTGTATGCTTGGCCACCGAACTGTTACAAGGACAGAAAATAGCAGAACAAATGCAAGATTTATTGGCTGATGTTCCTTGGTTACTGTTCTGACCCAGGCTTCCCAAGAGCACGAAGCAAACTCCTTGTCCTGACAAAAAAAACTTTTATTACTTGACTGTGAATTCTGCTCATTTACATCCAGCAAAGTCTTTCAAGGGAGGATTTACAGTCACAGACCTTCTCTGGCTTGGAGAGCTGCCAGGCCAATCTCTGCAAAACTTGGCAAGGAGAATCACAAACCAATTAAGTGAACTAATGGTCTCCTGCAAACTCCACTCCCCTTTCTCTCCTCTATTATTTCCTCTGGGAGGGGCCATTCATCGTCCACCTGTGGCCTTCCTCCCAAGTCGACCCCTGTTCTTTAACTGTTCCCTTCGTCTGGCAACTCTGCGCATGTGCACAGTAGGAACAGGCTCCAGCTGTCCCTCTGTCTTACTGTCTGACTCTGAAGGCAGCTGAGAACTGCCAGACAGCCCTGGCCCCCTCTCTGCCTCTGACACAGAGCCCTCCTCAGAGCCTTCCCCAGACTCCAGGACTGGCCCAGGTTCCTCCCCAACCTCCTCACTGTCCGAATCGGCTGCCAGCTCCGCTGGCGGACCACAACAATCGGGTGGCTTTTGGAGAAGTTTGGGTAAAGTTAGCGGGGTTTTAGGGAAGGGGAGAGTAGAAGAACAAACAGGAGGGGTACCTACGAGGTCGAACTTGCTCGGTGTGGGAGCCGAGTAGGATGAGGCTTCTGTTCGTATGGCAGACGATCAGAAAGACGCTCCTTAGTTCACGGGGTCTGCAACTATGGCAATTT